CCCCTCGTGCCCCCCCACAGTCTATCCTGGGGCCGTGGGGCAGGGTCTAACTCGAGCCCCTCTCTCCACGTGAGTCATGTCAGGAATCTACAAGTGAGCAGTCTGCTGAGTCTCCCCCAGCCTCAGCCTCACTCTCTGCTGCTGCTGCCTCTGTGTGTGTGTGTGTGTGTGTGTGTGTGTGTGTGGGGAGAAATGGAAGAAGAAATCACTGATGAAGACAAGGACTGTTCTGTGGAGGAAGGTAACGTCACCTGTCACCCACGGGTGACTCCAGGTCTTTGGCTGTTCTCACTCTGTTCCGAGTGTGTTCCGAGTGTGGAACAGTGTTTAGAAGCTAAAAATAGTGGGCGAGTCCACGAGTCCAGAGCTGCGACTGTGAACTTGATACACGGAGCAACGGTCTGACTGTTGTTTGTCCAAAGGTGGGCTCTGGGCCCTGGTCCTGACCGTGTGTCTCCTCTTCTCTGTCCCCTCAGAACAAAACAAGAGCAACCTGAAGGTGACCTCTCCGGAGGACGCCGAGCGCATAGGTCGCAGACAGGCCTCCCCCAATGGGACGCCCCCCACGAGAGGAGACGCCAAAGGCTCCCGCACCGTCCCCCGCCGGCACACCTTAGGAGGGGCTCGTGGCTCCAGAGAGATCCTGGCCATGCAGCCCCCGGACATGGACAAAAAGAGGGAGGCTTTCCTGGAGCACCTGAAGCAGAAGTACCCCCACCACGCCTCCGCCATCATGGGCCACCAGGAACGGCTGCGGGAGCAGGTCAGTGGATGGGGGGGGGGGATTGGGGGGGTTATTATTACAGTCAAACCATGTGACTCTGACTCTAACTACAGACATTCACGAAGGAGTCAGGGAAAACTGAAAACTATCTGGAATTCTACTTCCTGTTTTCAAGTCAAGTAGGAACAACAGTGTCTTAGATGAAGATGTTCAGGAGAGACAGTCGGACGACGGTTGACAGTCGGACGACGGTTGACAGTCGGACGACGGTTGACAGTCTGACGACGGTTGACAGTCGGACGACGGTTGACAGTCTGACGACGGTTGACAGTCGGACGACGGTTGACAGTCTGACGATGGTTCTAAAACAGTGACGCTGCAGAAAAGGTGTATTTTCTATTTGAAAGTTTGTCGGTCAGTCAGTTCCTGCAGCTGACCGACACAGACGTAGAGCTGTATGAACCAGAACTGTTGTGGAGAGTCCTGGAGTGGTCAGGGATCAGGGTTCGTGTCCGTCGGCGGTCGGCGCTCACACACAGACACGTTTTCTGGCCTCAGGTTAAACAAGAACGTGTTCCATAAATCTGTCTGTCACATGGTTCCACCAGCAGCTGCTGTGGGAGGAACCGTGTGAAACTCTTTGACTCAGGTCCAAACCCTGAAGCCCAGACCCGGTCTACGGTGAGAAGCTACTCCTTGTTATACCGCCACCTGGTGTCACTGGGGGTGAGACCAGGTGACGGGGGA